ATTTTTATACTCTCCAAATTTTTTTGGTATAAAGCTATCATGTATTTTTTGTGCAAGATAATTTTATATATTTAGGATTACACTGTCAGCATAGAATCCAGAGTAGAAATTCTGGGTCAAAGTCTAGAAATTTAAGGCTATTCTATATTACAGAATTGCTTTCTAAGAAAAGTGAATTTATTTATACTTCCATCAAAAATGTATGGTTGAATATTTTGTCATGTTACCTTATTCATAAACAAGCTATCTGAGTTCCTACTATGTGCCAGACTCTGCTCTAGACTCTGGGAATATAATAGCGAATGTAACATAGACTAGTCCTTATTAAAGTTACAGTCAATCAGAGGGGCAACACTGGCATGGAGAAAATGGAGGACACACAGGAGTGCATAACTATGAGGGGCTCAGGAGGAGGGTTACTGGGCAGGGAGGGGAGGAGACTGGGTTAGGGTTGGGGATGGTAAACGGGGAGTAAAACTAAATGTACACACAATGTTGAATGTAAAACAAACTCTTAAAATAAAAAAAAAAATTAAAAAAAGTTACAGTCAATCAGCTTTAAAGATTATTGATTTGTTGCATATTTTAGTCATTGTTTTTTAAAATTATGTTCACATATTCAGCCCACCTGTACTTTGGTATGTTATCATATATATATATATATATGTTGTTGTTGTTGTTATGTGCTGTCGAGTCGGCCCCGACTCCTAGCGACCCCTCCTTGGGTTTCCGAGGCAGTATCACTACGGAAGTAGGATTGCCCAACCTTCCTTCCGAGGAGTGGCTGGTGGGTTTGAACCGCCAGCCGTCTGGTTAGCAGGCAAGTGTCTTAGGCACTATGCTACCAGAGCTCCCTATATATATATAGTATCTTTAAAGATACTAAGTGATTTCCTCAACTTTTTCTTCAGGCCTCTGCCTTGTTTACATGCATTGTATATTCCCAGAAATAATATCTTATAATAAAAGGTCTCCTCCTGGAAGTGTCATATTTATCTTCATATTTTCACAGTACACACCACAGTGCCATGCATATAAAATTAAGGGCATGTGAGTGTAGTGTGTGTGTGTGTAACAACGGGAAGCAATATTATAGTATACACTTTGATGCCAGACACTCCTGGGCTTAAACTCTAGTTTTATCATCTAACTAGCTATAGCCTTGGGCAGTCAAAATGTTCTTAAATGTAATGTCTCCTATTTACTACCTTCATGAGTTTGGCCAACTCATTAAATATTTTTTGGCCTCAATTTCCTCATTGTTAGCTCATAGTTACAATGCCTATCCATTTCAGAGTCATTGGGAAGAACGTATATAAGTAAACATGCTTTGTAAATGATAAAATACTATCAAATTTTAATTAATATTACTGCATTAATTACCAAAGACCATCTCAGACCTTAATGTCTTTCCTTTCTTTGATTATCCTCAGATTATACTTCTTCTGTATTCAATTATTACTCACATGCATTTGTTAGCTTCACATTTCATCTGCACTCAATATATACTGCTTTATATTATTTCATGTGTGTATTTCTAGTACACACTTCTGTTTAAATTGTCTATTTTTAGTCTCATATACTTAAGACTGATTAAACAATACAAAAATCGATATACCTATAAACTTTTTGTAAGCAGAGATCATGCTTGATGTTTACTTTGAATTATTATTCATATAAGAGACTTCCAATTTATACCAAAAAAAAAAACCCAAACTCACTGTTGTTGAGTTGGATCTGACTCATAGCACCCTCGTTGGATTTCTGAGGTGGTATCTCTACAGAAGTAGATTGCCCAGTCTTTCTTCTGAGGACTGGTTGGTGGGTTTGAACCGCCAGCCTTCTGGTTAGCAGTCAAATGCCTCAAGCACGAGGCCACCAGAGCTCCCTTATATTGGTTGCATTTAACTACTGTACATTCCTATTGTTTACGCCATTCAGATATAATTGGCAGCAAAATAAGCAAAAACCTACTACTTATCACAAAACATCAATATAGTTTATTAGGTTATTAGGCAATTTTTATTTTAACAAATCTTATTAGTTTGTTCTTCAATAACTTATTTGAAATTTCAATATGTCATTACTCTGTAATACTGTTTTCCTGCCAGATTCTAAAATATCTTTATTGATGACTATTTAATAAATTCTTATTAGGAGCCTCAACCACCATTTCTATTACATATTTCTCTTTAAACCAATAACTGCTTTCGTTACCAGATGGTCTTATCAAATAACATGAATACAAAGAGGAAGCATTTTCTTGATGACTGTTGTAGTCATTTAGTCAACAAGGTAAAAGTTACGAAGGTGATAATCTAAATATTATTATGAAAAAAACCACCTACAACTCACTTTATAATTAAGTGGTAAGGCAAACACCCTATAAAATGTCAATCTATTGGTACTGGAGTTTTGCAATTCTGTGAAATTGTTTTTTTCTCAACATCAGAGTAAATCTAAATCAATTTCATTATTCCCAAAAGGAACTTTAATTTCTGCTTTTGTTTTACATCTTTCATTTCTAGGGCTCTATATTATATTTATAATTAAGCTATCTTTATCTTACAGTGAAATCTCTTAAGAACAATTTCATCTCACTAAAAAAAATGCATGAGAGTGGCTGTTGAGAAATATTACGTATTCTCTCACAACAAACAGGTAATTTTATATCTACAGAATTCCACCACTAGAGATTTATAAAACTGAGAAAAGAGAAAAGTGATTCAAAACATTGTGTGAGTTCACTCAAAGGCTAAACTAATTATTACTTTCTAATAGTTATCCTTTTTAAAGAATAAGTAAATATATTAAAAAGGACTCTATTTAGTTTTATGCTGTATGTCTTTAAAAAACTAAAGTAATATGATCAAATATAATGACTTAAATCTGAGATATACAAACTTAGTTTATGGTTACATTCATTTGTCTGTTTTTACATATTTTTTAAAATTGATCCTAATAAATTTTAAATCTAAAAAAAAATCAATAATCATAAAGCTAATTTTACCAGGTATAATCAGAAACATATATAATTAGATAAAGAAAATAATTTAAGTGAAATACAATATAATTTAAGAAATGTATGTTTGGCTGTTTAAAAGTAACTAATACAAACAAAGGAGCTCTGGTAGCATAGTGGCTCAGGCACTTGACTGCTAACCAGAATGCTGGCGGTTCAAACCCACCAGCCACTCCTCGGAAGGAAGATGGGGCAATCTACTTCCGTAGTGATACTGCCTAGGAAACCCAAGGAGGGGTCGCTATGAGTCAGGGCCGACTTGACGGCACATAACAACAACAACAACAACAATACAAACAAGTCTAAATGAGAAAGCTACCAAAGAAAACTTTAAAAATCATGAAGAATTTATACCTCCTCTCTAGCTATTCGTAGTATTGGTAGAGTCTGAAGATGTGAAACAGGAATTTATTTTAAAGATCAGCAAAGTTAAGAATTAAAAAATCTAGGACTGTAGTCAGGGAAGCTATATAACAGACTCTCAAACAAGACTAACTAGGTTTGAATCTACCTTGATTAATTTACTAGACGTGTGACCCTAAAAAAACTGCCTGACCTCTCTGAAACTCACTTTCATCTGTGAAAGGAGGATAATAATGGTGATACTGATCTTAGAGACTTACTGTGAGGATTCAATTACTCAATGTGTGCTGATTTCTTAGAACAATGTCAGACACACAATACACACTCTTAAGTTTTAGCTATTATTTTTTTCATAAATTGGAAAGTTAATTTGAACTAGAAACTGCTTATTGAGTGTTTAGCTTCACTCACAAAAGTTACACTTGCCAGAGATTCAGTTAAAATTTCTACTACTAAGACCTTGACTCAAATCTTGGGGAAGAATTACATAACAACTCCAACAACAGCAGCTCTATCTAGCCCCAGGATAAGGTTCCCAGACAAACCAGAAAACAAATATAAAAGATTTAGGATGGAATGTGTTGTAATAATGGCTTTATGAAAGGCTGTAAGTCTAAAAATAACAAAATTAGTGTAGAAATTATTATTCTTGTTTTACAGATAAAGAAACTGAAGCTTAAACAGTGAAGTAACCTGGCCAACATATACTGACAGTAAGCTAACATGAAAAAAAGACTATATATGCCTTATTTACCACTAGAACTTACAAATATTTAATAGTACTCAGTACAGACTAGATGCTTAGTAAATGATCGCTGGATGGATAGATGGATAAAGCAGTCAAGCATGAATAGGCTACACTGACATACCAGTGAATCTAAAAACTGAACCAACTCTGGCTAAACTTTTTAGATGACAGCTTAATAAATGCTATTCATTTTTATGTAGTAACAAGACTTGTGTTATTCACAGACCAAGATTAAAGGTTTCTATATTCATGAAATATGAATGGCTATCATAATATGCTACAAGAAATAAAAGATTTTTTCCAACTAGTGATAGCACCAACAAAATTATCCATGTTAACAGGATTCCAAATGCAAAAATTTTTGGCTATTTGAGTACAGGTGTGTGTCACTTACCATCCAGAAAGTGTTCTATAAAACAGGGAATTGTATGATTTGGACACTGCGCAAACACCATATTATATATAGCATACATGTTTGTATATATTTTATATGTACATATTAAAGTAACCTCCACGCAAGCTGCTCTGGCTCTCTAATAATGCATGGAGCCCCGGGGTTTGCAAACTGAAATTGGCTGCCTCTGGTTGTGGGGCACTCTCTGAGTAGCCTCAGGGAATCTTCAGAGCTAGAAGCCCCAAGGGACTGAACAGACCAGCTTCAGCCCAGCGTCTTCCCTGCAGGCACCAACATGTAAGGTGGCTGGGCAGGGCACTTGCCAGCCCAATGGCAGCTGCAGAGCTGAGGATAGGTGGCAACAACCATGGGAGCCAAGCCAGGGCTTCAAACTCAACGCCCGCCCCACCTCCTGACGCTGTTCCAAGCAAGCCTTCCTTCTCCACCCCACGCTGCCCAACCAGACATTAAGCGGTGCATACCTATATACTGTTTATGGATTACAATAATTAAAACAAAATAATGAATGTATGCTAATGCCTAATTCTGGAACCTGTGGAGAAAATGGTTTGTCCTTCCATTGTATCTCGCATTAGACTCATACAAAGCACCAGCTTGAGATTTGCTTCTAAGCTCAATATTTGGTTCATATTTCCCTTGCTTGGGTTGTTTGTGGCTCAGAACACAAACGTCCATATTTTAAATTTCCTTTGATATTCTTTTCCCGAAAAGAAGTATAAAAGTAAGAAGGTATAAAGAGTGTCATTATATCCCTATGTTCCTATGTTAAATTTAAAAGTCAAACTTACTGAATATAAACAAGCTCACTGTGATTAATTTTCATTGTGTTTCCATTTATTAGTAAATTACCTGTAAAAAAGTTCTTCTGTGCAAAGATGAAGTGATAGGTGGCTTTATAAACCTCTAGTTCACACTGCCATGTCTGTGGCATGTTCCATATTCGGGGGTAGCTAGCATTGATGTGGAACTACAAACCAAATATTAAGTAAAAATGTTAGAGCCTAAAATTTGACAGTGTGAGAATAGTATTACAAATTAAGTCAGAGACACTGGTGAGTAATTAAAACTGATTTCCCTACAGAACTGAACAGAAGGTCCCTTTGAATTTTTAATTTTGCTGTGCCTGAAGGTCAGTATCTGTGGTTACATCCAGCTCTTTCAAATACTACAACAACAAATGACGCTACAGATTTTTTGTTTGTTTGTTAACTGTTGTAGAAATATGTATATCACATTTGCCAATTCAAAATTTTTCAAGTACACAATTTAGTGATACTAATTACATTAATCAGGCTACAGTTATTAAAAATGCACTCCAATTATTTTAATGGAATAACAGCTGACATCCCTAATTCTTCCTTAAGCTTCATCTGTTAAGTGAGAGGCTCAGAATGAGGAAGGATGGGGTAAAATACATAGTGTCACACTGAAGTCTGTCCACCAGTCCCTCCTGGGGTTCCCATTTGACAGCACAGCAGTTAAAGATCTGGCATGGTGCTTTGTGGCATATTCCACCTGCCAAACCTTGGTATTTCTGCAAAGGCAAAGCTTCCTGCCAGGAATACAAATGCTGCAAATAACTATCAGCAACAGCTCAGGAAGTCATTAAAATGGTGAATATTTCAGATTAAAAAATATATTCTTGTAACTGTGAAATTTTCCCAAAATTCACAATTTTCTCTATACAAATATATCTAGATAGATAGATAATCATATGACGTTGAGATATGATTAAGTTCCTTATGGTACCACATTATATGAAAGAATCTTCTCTGAATATCAACAACTCTACATAGTAGTTTTTGTTATTATTATTGCTGTCTCTAACAAAAAATAATAATCTGCCTGATGTTAATGAGTCCTCAATCTGCAATTTTAATCATGGCCATTTCCACATTGTTTCTTTTTCTAATATGAAGTAATTAAGGGTATTAATAATATTTTTCCCCTTTATCTTATTCATCATATTAAAAGCACAAATAAATTACATTATTTAACTCCTGAGAAAGGAATCAATAGGGCTAGAAAACATATGATAAAAAATTATCCTATTTAAAATTTAAGAGGGATTTAGTCCAGTCATATAATGAAGTTTAAAAGCAATATTCTAAAAACTTTTCACATTTTTTAAAGCCAAAAAAACCCAACCATACATCATTGTCTTTTATTCCTTTCCCCATACTAAAAGCAAAGCAACAAAGAGATGCCAAAGTAAGTTCAAAGTAAGATCAAGAGCGTGTACTAATTCTTGAATAAGAAGATAAACCATTGAATGACTTGTGCTCACTTAAATTTTATATTTAAAAATTAGAATGAAATCTGTATTTCACACACAAATGCAATCAATATACTCTAGACTTACGGCTAACATTTCTGCTTCTAAAAGGGTCCGGTATTGCATGCTAGTTGTGGCATCAACATGTAAAAGTTGTCCTTTAATTGCAGGTGTGTAACCTAATAAATGAAAATATTAAAAAATTCAAAACCCAAAAAAATGTATACAATTAAAACAGTTGGAAACTCAACCAACTCCTACTACCACCCAAAGTAGGAATCCAAGAAGAATGCTTATCAGTCATGAGTTAAATAGACCACAATGACAGGAAGCTTGCTATTTCATATCCATATAATGTCTATCCATTTGTTCTGATTTGGCTTTCCAATGCAAAACTACAAATGTATTTTTTAAATGATACTTTAAAATTACTTAAGACAGCTCATGTCTTCTCTAATTCTACTTACTAAAGGGTATATATTTTCATAATTTTCAGTTACTCCTATGCAAGAGCAGTTTCTAAACAATGTAGATTATTCTGAACAAGAGCAGAAATATTTAGAGTATTACATTTCTTTTCCTGATGGGGTACCTCTTATAAACACTATTGCTATGGTCATTGTTAAACTATTGGTTGCACGTGCATCCTGCTTTGAACATTTTCTTATAACTAGGTCTCTGGAAAAAGATTCAAATTTATTTGTTGAAAGCTGTGCTTTGTTCTTGCCAGAGACTTAAACTTCTTTTTCCCTTTGGCTTCTCAGACAGTCATCTTAAAAACTATTTAACCTTTATAGAACAAAACGTAATCCTTTAACTTATTCAGAGTTCCCCCAAGTATCCTGTGGTACTTGTCACAAATTTATACTGGTGTGTGCCTGAGGCAGTGATCCCATTAACTCTCAAGTGAACTCTTTACCCCAATAAGCCATGTAAACATGTCTAACGTAAGGTAAAAAACAGTGATTTCGTTAAATGATTTTTTCTCAATTTTGTGCATCCAAGACTATTTCTTTCTTCCATCATATACCTATGATTAAGGTTGTTCTAAAAGATGCTTCTTCCCAACAGCTTACTCTGAATTTCCAGCCAGTCCAAGAACTTCTCAAGTATCTCCTTCAACATTTAATATTTTTCTTTTAAAACCATCTAAAATAAGCTTCTGTTCTTCACTTGAACAGCCCCGAAATTAAGGCAAAAGGTATATTATGTTAATCTCACATTTCACTTGATCATGTAATCAGGCAAACCCCACTGTCACCCTTCATGAAAGCTAAGAAACTGAGTCAATCCCTCTGCCTGCTTTCTTCTCATATACAATACCAATTAAGGGACAGAAGCAAGGAAAGATAACTAAAGACTATATAAATCTAAGTATACTTAACAACAGTATCACTGCCATTACCAATTTTAAAAAAATGAGTGCATTGCTATTTTGTTTGTTGTCAAGGAAGTGGATACGAAACCAAACCAAACTCATTGCCATCAAGTCAACTCTGACTCATAGTGACCCTTCATTGGGTTTCCAAGGCTGTAAATCGTTACAGAATCAGACTGCTTCATCTTTCTTCCACGGAGCAGCTGGTGGGTTCAAACCATGGACCTTTTGGTTACCAGCCAAATGCATGAACCACTACACCACCAGAGCTCCATAAGAAAGTTGGTTGTTGTTGTTGTTAGGTGCCGTCGAGTTGTTTCCGACTCATAACGACCCCATGCACAGCAGAAGGAAACACTGCTCAAGCCCGTGCCAACTCCATGATCCCTGCTATACTTGAGCCCATCATCACAGCCACCATGTCAATCTATCTCATTGAAGGCCTTCCCCTCTTTTGTCAACCATCCAATCTACCAAGCATGACATCCTTCTCCAGGGAATGGTCCCTTCCGACAACATGACCAAAGTAGGTGAGACAAAGTCTGGCCATTCTCACTTCCAAGGAGCATTTCAGGTGTACTTCCTCCAGGACAGATCTGTTAGTTTTTTTAGCAGTCCATGGTACTTTCAGCATGCTTCACCAGCACCACAGCTCAAAAGCATCAACTCTTCTTCAGTCTTCCTTATTCATTGTTCAGTTTTTACATGCATATGAGGCGATTGGAAATATCATGACTTGTGTCAGGTGCACCTTAGTCCTCAAGGAGACATCCTTGCTCCTCAACACTTGATACAGTCCTTTTGCGATTGACCATCCCATTGCTACACGTCATCTAATGTCCTGACTGCTGCTTCCACTGGCATTGATTGTAGAACTAAGCAACGTGAATTCTTTGACAA